ATTGCTAATTTGCTATCATCTTGTTTTGAAATTCTATATCATTTTGGGTTTGGGTTTTTTTTTCCCCTTTAAAAAATAACATAAACAGGGCCCGCAAGATAGCTTGGTGAGGGCCAGCCAAATAGCTCAGCAAATTAAAGCTCCTGCAAGCAGGCACAGGGGCCAGTTTGATCCTGAGGCCTGCCATGCTGGCGCTGCCCCTGAGGCACACTGAGGTGGTGATTGAGACTGGGTGTGGCGATGCGTGTCTGTAATCCCAGCTCTTGGGAGGCTGTAAACAGGCGGATCACTAGGAGTCCAATCTAGTAGTAAGACCTTGAACACCCTGTAGATCTTTCCCTAAAATACACACACACACACACACACACACACACACACACACACACGAAAAAAAGATAGTTCGGTGCACTAAGCACCAGCTTTGGCCAGAGCAGGGGCCAGGATTCAATCCCTGGTCTCACATGCCATGCCTGCCCCACCTATGGGGTACACTGAGCCAGGGAACAAGTCTGGGCATGGTGGAACACACTTGTAATCCCATTGCTGGGGAGGCTGAACACAGGAGGATCACTGTGAGTCTGAGCTACTTAGTGAGACCCTGTACCAAATACATAAATGAAAATAATAATAATTAAAAAATTCTATTAAGATATAATTTACATACCATGCATATAAAATTTAAGGTGTACTATTTGATGGCTTCTAGTATATCATCTATCATTATAATCTACTTTAAAATACTTTAATACCCCAAAAAAGAAATAGTGTACCCTTTGGGCATCACTTACCAGTAACCCCACACTACCATACAATCTCTGATTTCTGTCTCTATTTGCCTATTCTGGATATTCATATAAGTGGAAATCATGCAATATATGATCTTTTATGATTGGATTCTTTCATGTAGCTAGTGTATAAGATTCATCTACATTATAGTGTGTATCACTACCTCATATCTCTTTATTGCCATATACTATCATAGTATTACATGAGTAGATAGGCTTCATTTCTTTCATCCTCTGATCAGTTGATGAACATTCAGGATTTTTCCATTTTTTTATTGAGATATAATTTGTACAGCAGTTTTCTACATAGTGTAGAGATTGAGCTTTGTTTGCTTTAAAAATTTGTTATTGCTTATAAATTATTTCCAGCCTTTCAAAATTATATTAACATCACTAGTCCAGTGTTATTTTCTCTCATTGTCTTTGTTCTTATATATTTTTATCTTTTTTCCTCTCACTTTCATTTTACTACATTGTAGATAACAGAATATTCAGTTAGTCACATTTTATAAGAAGTTCCCTTAAAATTTTTTGAGGAAAAATAAATTATCCATAGTTCCATTATTTTAACTTCACTTTCATTTTGCATTTTCTTCCTAGTCTTTGTGTACTCGGCAGATAAAATCGTAGCACATTCTGCTTGTTTTCTGAAATGTAGCATAAATACTTCATTTATAAGTACTACATCATGTTGTAGTTAAATGTTAACCAATTTAATGGCAGCATAGTGTTCTATTGTGGAAATAATATGCTATTTTTACCATTTCTTCTCTATGTGGACATTAAAGTTACTAAGTTTGGCAGGAAGAGGTAGGTAGGTACTAAAGAAATGCCATAATAAACATATCTGTTGAACTTAGGGTCATTTGCAAGTACATTTGGCGAGAATTGTGACAGTACATTACATCAAGGTACACCAGCCCTTTTTTCAGTTGTTCATTTTGTACTTCTATCTCAGAATACTTTGTTAGGTATCTATAAGTCTTTTGTTGTTTATGTTCTGCTAATCAGATCTTTTGCCCTCCACTACAGTGCTGCTTTTAACAAAGTTACTAGGTTCATCAGTCATCACATGAAATTATAGTTTATATTTCCCTGTATAGATTGTTGGCACTTTGTAGACAGGGGCCTCATAGTGCAGCATTATATGAATGAAAAGCACAAATTTCTAGTAAACACAGATATAGTTTCTCAATGTAGGTTCAAGAGTAACTTAAATATGTTTTTACAATTCCTGAGTTGATAAATTAATAAAAGAAAAGTCAGACTAATTATTCACCTTGGTGGCAAAAAATAAATAAGTTGCTCTTAAAAATTAATACTTATATGAAAGGATAAAATCAAGTACATATTTACTGTTTTTGTTGTTGCTAGGGAGCAATCCCAGAACTTCATGCATGCTAAATGTATACTCGAGTATTGAATTATACCCCGCTCCCATCCAGTTCTGCTTTTCTGATATACAATATATACACAAATTACAAAATAGTTGATGAAAGGAAATTTCTTTTTCTAGCTCTAAATATAGCAGTAGGAAAGGAAGGAGTAAAGCTAGAATGAGAATATTGTTTTACTACTACCAATGATAAATGAATCTAGACTTTGACCATCAACAGCCTTTAATATCACAGAGTACTACCAGGCTGAGTGGTACTGTCCTTTAAGTCTTCTTATCAAACAAGCCTGAATCTAATCAAGCCTCTAGAGGACTGGCCTGATAGCTCAGCAGACTAAAGCACCTGCCTAGACAGAGCCCAGCAGCCAGAATTTGATCCCCTGCGTGCCTTGTCGGCCCCACCCTTGGGGCACACTGAGCTGGTGATTGAGACTGGCCATGATGGTGTGCACCTGTAATCCCAGCACTTGGAAGGCTGAAAACAGGAGAATCACTCCAAGTACAATACAGGGTACTCTCTCTACATAGTGAGACCCTGTACACCCTGTAGACCCTGTCCTCAATACAGAAAAAAAAAAAAAAAAATCAAGCCTGAAGAATTTACTACTAGTTTGTAAGAACATAGACTCCAAAGGAATTTGTCAAATAACAAACTGAGATATAGTCAGCAACCATCACTGTTGAAACTCTATGAGAACTCTATGAGCAAGTTAAATAATCCTGTTTTTTTTTTTTCAACAAACAACTTGTAGATGGGCAAAGAAACTATAAATAATAGATAAAACTGACCTACTTATATACAAACTAATGGCAATAGATAGTATTACAATGGTAATGCTCCATTCACACCTCCATTCACAAACTTAATTCAATCCACACTTCTGGAAAGGTGGTCACATTCATGTTTGTGTAGGAAAGATGGCCAGGGTCATGTTGGTCAGCCAATACAGAGTTCACACCAAAACCAAAATTTTGCCAAGCACTTCTTTCTGTTTGTAAACTAATTATTCACTGACTTAGTTGTTTATTCTTGTTGCTGAAACAAAATACTTGACATCAAAAATTAAAGGAGAAAAAGTTTGTTTCGTCTCAGTTTGTAGAGGTTTCAGTCCATAATTGGAGGACTCCAAAGGAGAGTAGCATGACAGAGGGTGGCATGGCAGAGCAGGCAGGGGGCAGCAGCAGACAATCAGTAAGTGACCACAGCAGCCCTCTTTCTGTCCATTTTATTGCATCAGAGTGGAGCACTCACACCCAGAGTGGGGCACCTTAATCCTAGCATCACACCATGAACCAATCCTAGCATCACATACTCTAGATACAGCCACCACCAAGAAGCCCTACCTGTGATTGCAAGAGGCTTTGGAGGTCATCTAGACACAAGCCATAAAATTAGCAAATAAAAGTGTTCATGAATCAAGTATTTGGATCATAACTTAACTGATGGTAAAAATGACAAAAGTAGCGGGAAGAATTTTTTTACGTTTATTAGGCAACTAGAAATTTGAACACCAAGTTGATATTTGATAATTATTAATTATTGTTATTTTTTAAACAATGGAGTTGTTAAAAATCTGCATGAAATAATTCTTAGTGGAAAAATAACCCATGATCAATAACCCCAAAATGCTTATTGATACAGGTAACAGTGGGAATTGCTATGTTTCTTGGATTTCTTTAAAGTACACATAGGCCCTGTTAAGTGATATTAAAACCTTTAATCAAAAGCTGATAGTTCACAGGACATATCAGAACTTGTACTGTAACGTCATGTAACTCAGTAGTGTCCCAAATTTTCTGATCAAGGAGATTATGGGGCCAAAGAGAAAAGTGATCGATGATGTAGAGTGTGCCTAAGGA